GCGACGCTGTTAAGTGTCTCTGATCAAAAGCGAGATACATGTTTGAGTATCTGGTTGAAAACGTTTTCGTTACTAGAAAATAACACTCGATGATGTTCTTGTCGGGCGAAGAACTTTAACAACGTTCGTCAGTTCCCGATGAAACTGTAACGATACCATCGAAGGCGTGTAACGATAAGGAGCATCACCTTTATCGTCACTTTTACACCCTTTCTCGGTGCAGCACGGAACGCGGTATTTTTCTAGCAAACGATAACATTACACCTACGGCTCTCCGTTACCTTCTACCCGTCCCGTAAGTTGGCAGCCATAAATGCACTCGGATCTTGCGGTATCTGTCACCAAATGGCGTGTATGATCCCTGACTCCGGCTGTAGAAACCTTCAGGGACGCGGAACGTTGTACAGACACTGGACGCCACTTACGACGCGCAAACATACCCAACCCCAGTCCGATCCGACCCCTTTTCCGAGCTCTTGCTACATACAGCCGGAAGGCTACTAGCCGTTGAAGAGAAAGTGGACACGTTAGACAGCAGGACGGAAGAAGATAGAGGTTGATGTTTCAGAGGAAGGTTGCGAAGGTCCTCAGGGTTGGACTGTGTCCACAAGGGTGCCACGGATGAACCGTTAAGGGAGGGGGTGTTCTAGAGTACACAGCCGGTATAAGTAACGAGCCGTCGCTTTGAATGACCTCGCCGCGTATAAAATGCATGGGATTTCGGCTCTAATGCCGGCCAGGGAGTTTGCCAGCGAGCGTATTTAGTCCCGAAAGATGAATGTAACAGGTCTCTTTTGACCCGCCCACCAAGAAAGGTAATGGGAGCCAAAAGTACCCAAAGGATGGTAAGCGTAGACGTGGTCCTTGCTCTACTCGGAATCACAAATTGGTCTTTCGGGACAGCTTGCCGCTGTCGCGTGATTCTCAGCGATCCTTACAAACCTTTTACGCTTTGACCTCGAGATCTGGCCTCCAGTGAATCTCGAGAAACGGCCAGCTGTTTATACATGCAGGCTCGCGAGAAACTCGAGAGTACTGACGTTGCGAGAGGAGAAAACAAGACCTTGTAGAATATTCGATCCGTGTATATCTAGCTCGCCTATCTATATAATAAAGGCATATAAACTGACGTAAAAGAAAACGAACGAACTGATGAACCCTACCTCGATCTTGAAAAAAAAGAAGAAAAAAAGGAAAAAAATGGTAACCGTGGATCCGCGAGGGATCGGCGTCGATACACCATGAACGGCAACGACCAGTCGACTAGTTGGGTATCTCTCACTCGACGAAGGAAACAAAACGACTGCGCTGAAAGAAAGTACGTGGGTGGTTGCAAGGGCACAGAGGTGGAGATGATACTAGACGAGGAGACGAACAGAGAGGGGTGTACGTGGAGGAGCTGAACACCCTGGGGAGCCGGCAGCTCGTTACGCGAGACGTGCTACAGCTCTCTTTCTCCCTTCTATTCTCTCTTTCTCGGCTTTCCTTCACTTACCCATTCTCCCTTTTCCTCTCTCTCACTCTTGTCCCGTGATTCTCTCAAACCTTGATCCTTTTCCACATCTATCTCTATCCTGCTCTATCACTCTCCCCCTTTCTCTTTCTCTCTCTCTCTCTTTCTCTACTCTCGACGCCCCACGTTTTCGAGGTAGCACCGCTCTGAATAATGTCCCACGTACACGCTTGTCTCTCTATACGGGCGTATCGCTACTCAGTAACAAGTGGATATTATTCCGGCGCTGCTGATACTACCACGGACCGACGTTGGCCTTGGTTAAGGGGGTGCAACATTCACGGCGAATCCACTGTAGACGCAGGGGATGTGTTCGTCATCGTTTATGTTATCATTTCTCAAGTTCCTTTTTTTAACTACGCTATGAATTAACTATACTATATATGGAAATTTATAGTAGCATTCTATTAAATAAGGAGAAATCTCATTTTGAACCTCCATGTCTGACTAATAACGTGTCGCTACTACTTGAAAATATAATTGTTACTTGAACTGGTAACTATGGCGAGGATAATTCGAAGGTTAATTAAAGACAATATTTCATTGTTCCTCGTGCAATTCTCATTTCTTTGGTTACCTATACGCGTCTCTCTCGCTCACGTGACAACAGTGTACATTCAACGGTTCAGACAATAGGCGAAAAGAGAAATACAAAAGGAATCTAACCGATGAGAAAGAGGACGTTAAGGCGTTCCTGGAGGACTCGGTAATGACTGTCGCTACTTTTCCGCCATGTCGGAAGCGCATTGCGCCATTTCCGCTAGCCCGGAAGTGCGGTAACAAAGCGCTTCCGGCACGCGGTCTCGAGGAGGTTGTTACGACGGGCTCTAGCGCAGAGACACTCGGTGACATTTCAATGAACTTTGCGGCGCAGCCATTTTCTCCGTAAAGTTCATCGGGCTTAACATGCGTTTTGGGAGGGTTGACGAACTTTTGACGCGAAATTTCTGGCTTCGTTGAGAAATTAGGGGTGAGTAATATCACGGCCGGAACAACAGGACGAGAATTAGAACACTGGCTCGAGCACGTGTTAACATTTAGCAGTTGTACTTTAACTTTCCTCCAAGTGTCGTGAATTGTATGATTAAAATTATATTATCACTATACATTCATGATTTATAAAGGAAAAATCATTATTCTAATTGAATAATTAAAAGAGGAGTGTTCCTGCCAATTATGTTCATTTAGACATGGTTATTTACATCCAGTGAAATTTTGAAATAACTTTGTTATAAATAACAACCATCTCAACCCTTTGACTGCTATAGACGCACATATACGTCAGGTGAAATCAAATAAAAGTTATCAGTGCATATTACTAATTACACACTGTATGTTATCGTATTATAATGATATAATTAAATAATGGAAAAAAGGAATGAAAAAATAAATTAAAAAGAGAAATTATAATTACTCAGCCGTCAAAGGCTTAAGTACAGAAGCCCAATTATGAATCGTTTTTTAATAAATGGATGACTGTTTGTTTTGCAGGGACTATCATCGCGGCACGTTTACGTCCTCATCGAGCGTATATGTGATTCCACAATCGAAATAAAAGGAGTTTTCTTAAGAATGGCTATACGATGACATCTATTATAGCGCGGAGTTATCGCGCCAGACGTGGCAGTATCGTATCGTGAGCGCACCGCTCAGAGCAGTCGCTGGCAGTGCTCCCAAACTCGAAACGGAACGCGTACATTCGTATTACTTTTTCGAACGAGGTCCGTGGCGAACGAGAAGGGCGGAACGAAGAGGAACGAAGAGGGGTTGAGGCCGGTACCGTCACGATTTTATGAAAATTGCACCGCCCGTTCCAGCTGCCCCGAGAGTTCGAGCGAAATATGTTGTCCCCGTTTCGCGATTAATGCTCGTTATTTTATTTCGAATACGCCAAACGTTCTTTTCGTAGCTGGCCATGGCAACTTTTTCCTATTGTGGCGTTGATATTCGCGAACGAGTTGCTTAACGGCGATTAGCATCGCTGTACCTTGTTTTCTTCAGCAACGATTTTTAGAAAAGTTGAATTTAATGCAGTAGTAGAAAAATTATTTAACGTCCACTTTTTGACAAAGGAGAGGTTCTGTATCAAAGGATGAAAACAGTAATTAAAGCTGGAAATACTAGGTACTAACTCTCGTAACTACGATACGACATATTTTAGTACAATTTTTAACGTGATATTCACTGTGTTAAAGTTCGTCAAAGTAGAAAAATATGCGCGCGTTAAACGTCGAAATTTCAATAAAATATCTCGCAACGCGAATGAAATAATCAATCGACTACAAATCCAACTAATATTGTCCGTCGTCCGTAAACCCATTCCGCGTAAACAAGCCTCTTTCAAAGATTCCAATACCGTGGAACGAGAGTAAATTTCCAACACCCTTCCCCGCTGATCGTATAATAGCAGGAATTGAAGTGGGGGGACTGGATAGACGAGCCTTTGCAACAGAAATAACAAAATTTTCATCGATGCAATCCGGCCGATCGAACGTGCGGCTCGTTAATACGCCAGATACGTGATTACCGGCAGCTGTGCTGAATCGTGATTTCCCGTTCAACAGATAATTTATGCGTTTCCGGCATTTGACGGCGAAATGAAATAAAATTGAAGTCGGCGATGGTCGCGGGATCGCGCGCTCTCTTTTCACTGAAAAAAATGCAGAAACGTCGCCGCGACGAGACGAGCGCATTGGCGAGAGGGTTGAAAAAAGTCGGTAGGAATAAAAAAAAAAGAAAAAACGATGGTACGAGGTTCGACAGACGAGAGATCGAGTGGAGACGAAAGGGTGGTTTGGAGCCAGGAAAGACGGAAGAAGGGAAAGGGTACAATTAAAATTAGCGCAATTCAGTCACTCGCCAGTAATTCGTGTGCCCGGCATTTATATTATTAAGCCGCGCAAATTTCTCTCGCCTCTCCTCTCGCCCTTCTCCTAGTTACGCGCGAATACACACGCATACACAGGACCGTCCGCTACGCTCGAACCTTCCTAAATGTGTGCGTTGCACTCTGCCTCTTTCCCTTTTGATATCGTTCCATCCTCGTTCGAACCGGACCGTGTACGCTTCAGAGTTTCACGGCGAGCAGTTTCGGCCGTGACTAACGGCCCGTTAGACCGAGAAGAAAATAATTCCGGGTTTCGAAATGAATTACATCTAATTGCTCTTATTACGAGAACCGGAGAGGGCTCTTTATTATTCCCTCTTCAGAACGCGATCCTTCTCCCACTCCGTTCCATTTCTTTTTCACCGTACAAACCCCTTTTCTACCCCCCTTCTTTCGTTAGTCGACTTTCAAAGCTCGCGTCTACCCCTTAGCTACTTCCTGTCCGCAGTCTGGCTTATCTTTTAGCACCTGACTGTTCGACCAAAGGACTTCCTCATGCGTGAAAGGAACGGAGGAGATCAGGGGATGGTTCGAGCGTGACGATTGTCGTCTTTCGTGGATTCGCTGTCTTTGCTCTGTTAACTGGAGAATAGTTCTTACCTTTGGGTGTGTTCTCCTGGGAAACGCTACCTTCGGGTCGATCTGTAACAAAATGAAAAATTTATCTTAAAATTGATGTATTAATATTTATAATCTAAAATTTAAGTGATATTCTTTGAAACATTAAAAATTGTGTAATGTACATGATTAAAATCAAACTTAAGATTTCTATCATTATTTCAGAGCTATGTCAATTACTCATAACTAAATAACGACACGGCTAAAATAAATTGCATTATTATAAAATCAATTTAATTTAAAAAATAATCAAATATTCTAAATCTTACGAGAGCATTCTGGATCCAGAAACATGGAAACAAGCACCGTACAATAAAATACAAAGGAGAAGGAGGAAATCCTGAGAAGAAGTAACAGTGAACACCCATTACAATTAATTACCGAGTAATAAAAAGTAGGTGGCTGAATACCGTGAATAGTGCTGCGAAGGGGTTGCAAAAGGGATCTAACCGGTACAGGTACCGTTCGACCGAACCAAACTCTCGACTCTCTCACCCCTATTCTCCGTTTTCTACGTTCGCCCAAAGGGACGAGCAAGCAGGTCGAATGTAACCGCACCTTACGCTCCACGTGGCTAAAAAGCAAAAACCCATCCCGTAGACGAAGGGATACGGTGCCGCGAAGCCATGGAATTCCCTGTGCAGCCACGACGTAAATTTTCACCACGAAATCGAGCCGCTCGAATGCACGTTCCGGCTTCCCTCGTGGCCTTCCCTCGAACTTACGTGCGTGAAGCTACGCGAGAACGTACGTGATCGCGGAAGAGTCGTTTGGTCGAGCAGCCATTTGAGAAGTTCGGGCTTCGCTCGGCTAAAGCAGCCGAATCTTTGAGAACTCGAATAGCTCTAACCCGTGTCAGAACGGCTTGCATATTTTCTCGGCGTACAACACCGTGAACACGATAGTTCCACGGTGCTTCGAATAATAATACCATTCGAGAGTATTTTCAGGTTTAGTTACGGAAGGCAAGGAGAACTGAGAGTGGAGAATTTGCAAATCGCACGGAGGATGTTTAGGTGTTTTCATTGGTGATTGAATAAATTTCAAGCATATCTTATGAAGAAATGGAGAATTTCTCAAGCTTTTTGTAGATTGTAAAAGTATTCGTTCCATTTAAATAACAAATATTTCTGATATTTAACATTAATTTTATTTATTTGTAAAAATGGTTTTAAAGAAGTATCTTAATAAATTCCTTCAACTTCCTCGAAGTTAAAATGATTTAATATGAATTCCCTTCATTTATAGGAAATTTCATTAACTCTTAAAATATGTACATTTCAATTTATACATAATATATATTTTCTTGGCTACTCGTTTAAAATGAGATGCATTTTGTACTTTTAGATGCCATTGAAGATACCGTCGCTTAAATATATCTCCAATAGCAGTTTGAGGCATACATTAAGCATTTAATTTCCGACCGACTGTCGAGGACGCTGATTCGGCGACTTTTTATCAGAATTGAATTTCTCGTCGCATTTCCAAAAGTAGGTCAACTTTTTTGTCTTTACAGCGTCATTCTTTTTTTATCATTGTCATTCCTAGGTTACCCCCTGGCATCGAGGACAACTGACTTTATTTGTTCGTGTTTCAAGGATTCAGTCGAGGATGCACTCAATTTTTACTGCACAATAAATAATCAACTTCAAATTTTTTTGCTCTGAATAATTAAAATTATAGTGCATTTTTATTGCGGCACTTAATATATTAAAATTCCATTTTATTCCTGGAAATCACACATTAATAACCATGCAGCGTTGCTTTATTTTCTTATAATTTGACGGTGCTTTCAAGTCTCACTCTAGCTATTTGAAATTTTCCATTTCATGGATACTTTAGAAAAATACAAATGCACCGTTAATCCTCCGTCATGGGAAGATGATTTATGATAATCTTGCTTTCATGTTGGATCGGTTCGGTTTCAATTTTTCATAACCACCGATCAGGATCAATTGCCACGAAATCCAGCCATTCTGTACACGTTATTCGTGAAATCTATTCAGCTGGCTGTGATGGTGGTCGTCCCTGCTGTATCGAATAATCAGCGGTTTTCATTACAAATCCTTTCGACGTAGTAACGCGGTGCCGTAATTAAGATGAATGTCTTCCAGATAATCCGAAGCGTTAAAAGACGCTTCATCTTTCACACTGACAATGAGCCATGATAAATGAAACGTGCAGACACAACTACAGACGAGAGTGTTCCGTGTACGGGTTCAAAGGAATATTTCGCTTCCTGAGAGATAATTAACGTTTCGATGTTCTCCTGCCAAATTCAAGGAAACAGTTGTTCAAAAGGCATCTTAATTAATACTGAAAGGCGTTGAAAAGTTAATAACCCATCACCGCCCGTTTACATTTTAAGTGATGTGTTAATTCCTCGTTTTGAAAAGACGTACAGTTTTAAACAATAGAAAATATTCTTCTGTTTTGGAAATTCATTAAAAGAAAATTACATAATATTAAAAATTTAGCAGATATAGCACATCATGAATTTTCAGTCAACTACTATCAAATTCCACAAATTCTTTTCATTCCCCAAAATACTTATTCCGTCGTTTCTTTGGAGATGATCCCTTACCTCATCCCCTTTCCGTAGAACGATTTCCTTAAAAAGATCACGCGATACTCGGAACTTCAGCCTCCTCTTACGATAGGCAGGAGAAAACGAAACGCGAGAGGAAGCCACGAACGTGGTAATGACAAGCAAGAAAACCCGCCGCCATCCCCGGTGTTCTCTCCGTCCCTCTTCTCTGCTCCCACGAACCACCCCGTTTGCATAATCCCCTACGGCGAAGTTCACACCGGTCGCTCGCACGCCCCCGAACGCCCTGGAGCACGTCAAGCGGCCCGACGTCGACAGCTACAACGACGCGACGAGGGTGGAGTGAAAGTATTTCGGGTTTTCATCGTGCCGCGCTTCTTCTCCTCGCGACTCGTGGAAGAACAGGGACGAAGAGGACGTGGTTGAAGGAAAAGAGGAAGAGGAGTAGCGAGTTTCGTACGGGAACTTCGGTATCGGCCCCTCCGGAGCAAGTTACGGCGACAAGTTCGTACGACTGGTCTAGCTTTGGATAAAATTAGCAGTTTTCTGAGGAATATGGTTAATTTCAGGGTAGAGATTCTTCGACGACTAAAAGTAGCGTTACTTAGCGGTTAAATTGATAATTCTCAATTTCTTGAATACTTTAAGAAGAAGATTCAAATTAACACACTCTCTATCCATGATAATTACATAGCTATTAATTTTTAACTTTTAATTTTTAACTGTTCTATTATTAATTTCCCAATACTAATCTGACATATAAAAATAACATATTTTCCAGTACAAACAAAAGGTGAATAAAAACTTGATCGATTGTAATCAAAGCGTACCGTATCGAACATCACCGAATGCCGATGAATCGACGTCAGAACACCTCAGCGTTCCCTCTGTATCATACGAAACACAATCAATCCCTGTAGTAACGTGCAATAACCCCGGAAGATACGACGTTGCGATTGAAATTTGTCAGGTGGACAGTGAATCGGGCTCGGCCAGTCGATCAACGAGATTACCCTCGACGTTCGGGGTTATTCGATTCGTTGCCGGCACGGTTCCGGCCCGGCCGTATCGCAACAAACGGGACAAAGTCGGAGATCCTGTGGGATAGGAGTCGAGAGAGAATGGTGGCGGGCATTACGGAGAAAAATCGAGAGGCTCGGAGCGATTCTCGCAAACATAACCCAGTTACCGGATATCGCGAGAAATGATCGGCCGCCGCCAAGGATCGAGAGGAGGCACGGGAACGTAGACGATAGAAATTCAATCTGGTTGGCACGAGTGGAAATTGGAAGAGCCAGCTATCCCCGACGGCGCGCTGGATGATTCTATGATACTTGAGGAAGCTCAACCTCGTGGCGGCCACATTTGGAAAAGTAATCCGTGACACCGTTTCCATCGCGTTCTCCCGTTCAACCCTGCTCGGCTCCCTAGGCGACCGGAAGCGGCCTCGTTGCCGGAGAACTCGGAACGGGCGAACTGCAAGCCACAGGATAATACGAATGAGAAATTTCACACGCGAATTCGCGGTAATTCCGGTGTAACTGAAACGCCACCGACTACCTTGCCGGTTAAATTGTTGCGCGAATCGTGTAAGTTGTCCACGAACGGGTAAACGGGCCTCGGCAACGACGCATACCGCCGTGAACATTATTAAACTTTAAATTACGCACGCAACGAGAAGCGATTAAAAATGCGTAACGTCGTTGCCCGCGTAGCGCGGCCGCTTCGAATAGTGGTAATTAAGAATGTTAGCCCTTGTTGATGCGCTCGTTATCAAACTGAATTTCTATGAACGGTGTATCGTAAAGGGGCGCGAATGGCAAACGAACCTGCGAACTTTGACGATAAATTCTCGACGTTCTCGCACACTTTATGGCTGATCTGAATGTAAATGGATTTCGGAAACTGGATTGTAGCGTCGGGTTATCGGAGGAGACTACCAGTACGCGTAACACAGTTACTAATTACTCTTTGTACATCGGACGACACCGATTCTAGTCACGTACTAGCTGTAAATTCTACGCGAAGGAAAACATATTGCAGGAATTTGTTTTATAGAGAGCATTCAGTGCTGATCACTCTGTCGATACTTCACCAGCCGACAAGGGGTTAAAACAGATGGATAGGGAGGGAAAACGGGTCCGAGTGTCATTCAAGATTTAGCTTCAGTTTCAGTAAGATCGAAGTAAATATCAGCGAGCTACAAGTGGGAGATTTTCCCGCACTCGAGCAATTCTCTATCCCTTCACGATGCTCGTCTCCCTTCACGTTTTTCACCCCTTCCAATCTTCCATCGCTCTCTCTAATTCTACCCGTCCTGGCGACACGTTTTACTAGTTCCGAAAGTATCCAACAATTTTATCGTGTACATTATGGAAGTTGATAATTTTCTATTTTCTATAAAGAACATTTCTTTGTGCGATTAATAATCTATGGAAGTTGAAGTTGCATTTAGTCTTGTTTCTGTTTCACAGGG